TACCAAGCACGAGGTGCTTTGTGTAGCTTGCACACATAGGAGGGTCGGTCATTGTCAATGAAACCCGTTGGTTGAACCATGTAAACGTCATCTTCAAGTGTTCCTTGGAGGAAAGCGTTATTGACATCGAGTTGGCGTAAAATCCAACCACGGGAGACCGCAATGCTCAAGATCACGCAGACAGTGGCATGTTTCACAACCGGACTGAACGTATCCGTATAGTTAATTCCTGGTCTTTGATGGAATCCTTTAGCGACGAGTCTGGCCTTGTACCTGTCGACACAACCGTTAGGTAAACGTTTTATCCGGAACACCCACTTACACCCAACCACGTTGTATGCGTTGTTTGGTGGAACAAGGCTCCATGTTCCGTTTCGTAGCAACACATTGAATTCCTCCATCATGGCACTTCGCCATCGAGGATCCTTGATGGCTTTGGTTACACCCGTCGGTTCAACATCTCGGTTCGGTTCTAAGCTGGAGGTGAAGGAAAGTTTGGTTTTGGGCTTGGTTATTTGGTTCTTTGATCGGGTGGTCATGGCGTGTGTATTTTGGGATTCTTGGTTGGTCTGTACCGGTTCGGCTTCACGGTGGGTGTTGGTTGGTTCTGAATCGTGGGCAAGATGTGGCACATTTGAGTTTCGGGTGGTCTGTACAGGTTATGGTGGCGTGGATTGGTCAGGTTCGGGGAAGCGGGTTACTTGGTTCGGCTGTGTAGGTGACGGTGATGGCTGTGTGGTTGAGCTTTCCGCGTTGCTTATCGGGGAAGGACCCACCACAGGAAATACCGGCGATGTGGGTTGTGCTGTCGGCCAAACCGGGACTAAGGAATGTGGAGCAAAGGACGAGGACATAGGGGATGAATTTGTAGTGGAATGTGACAGAAGACGAGAAAAGGGAAAGGTTGTTTCATCAAATTCGACATGCCGAGAGATGTATAGACGAGAGGAGGCGACATGAAGACACAAATAAGCACTTTGTGTAAGGGAGTAACCGACGAAGACACACGGAGAGGAACGAGGTTCAAGTTTATGACGATTATAAGGTCGGAGCCAAGGAAAACAAAGACAACCAAAGACCCGGAGTTTGGAATAGTTTGGTGATGTTTCAAAAAGAGTTTAAAATGGTGATCGTCCTTGTAGAACCGATGTACAGAGCCGGTTTATCAAGTATACGGATGCAGGAAATGCATATGTCCAGAACTTCGGGGGAATGAACGCCTGAGATAAAAGCGTTAGTCCCGTTTCGATGATATGTCGATGTTTACGTTATGATATCCCATTGTGCTCTGGCGTATGCGGTGGGGAAGTAAAATGAGCAATGCCATTGGATGATAAATAGTCTTTGAGAGCGATGTATTCTCCACCGTTATCGGAATATAAGGTGACGATTTTGGTGCGAAAACGGTTTTCGACAAGAGCTTTAAAGCGCTTAAATATGGAGGAAACATGACTTTTGTGACGCATGGGATAGAACCATGTATATCGTGTGAAGTGGTCCACAAAAATAACATAGTATTTAAAGCCGTCAAAGGATTGAATCGGTGATGTCCAAACATCCAAGAATAAGATATCAAGTGGATGAGATGAAGAAATCGTAGACACAGAAAAAGGTAGCTTGTGGCTTTTATTAATCGAACAATGTTCGCAAGATAAAGATGAAACAGACTTTGAGGAAATTGGAAGAGAAAACCGAGAAATTATACTTTTAAGAGTTTCTAGGGATGGATGACCAAGCCTAGAGTGCCATTGGAGTTGTCGCCTTGTGTTCAGCCATGGTTGGAAAGTAGTTTGTAGGTTCTCGCACTGTGTCCTTGAGTGCCGCAAAGTTGGCACTTTCCAAGATATCCACGTTGAGGTGGCCGAGATTGAGGAGTGCATGGTAAGAAGCCTTGTTGGCGATTAGGATGCCATGATGGACGAGAACCAGGAGGTCCAGAGGGACGCCACGACGGGCGTTGTCCATGCTGAGTAGTAAGCGCTGTGATGGGAGATTCCGGAAGAGACGCAACAACCATGTCAACGTCATGACTGAGGAGCTTTTCATGAAGTTCTATGAATGAAATCGCTGTGTCCCGAGCAAGGACTATGTCCTTGATCGGTTTGTACTCTTCGCCGAGCCCACCAAGGATGAGACCAATCAAATCTTCGTGATCTAGAGGCTTACCGAGAAGTGCAAGTTCATCTCCCTTGGCTTTGAAAAATTGCATATATTCATCCACTGTCTTTGTTCCTTTCGTATGGCGACGCATCGAGTCCTTGATGAGCTTAATATGCCCACGGCTTGAGCGACCGTAGGTTTGGGCTAGAGTAATCCACGCAGCACTAGAGGAGGCAGAGGAAGCAACAAGAGCCTGGCATGCGGGCGAGATCGATCCAAGGATGGCAGAGTAGACAAGTCTGTCTTGTCGGAACCATGATGTATATGCCGGGTTCGGAGATGCAACGCCATTGGCAGTAACAGTCGGTGCAGGGGCTTGTGTTGGATCGAGAAACAGATCGAGGCTGTAGCCTTGAGGCAAGGCCCGAGTCTGGATGCTCCGTGTCAGATAGGTGGACGCTGTGAGTTTCGTCATATTTGTCGTGTTGACATTCAGCAGAGGGTTATCGACGCTGTAGAGAGTGACTGTGTCACTGGGTAAAGTGGTTGTGGCAGAAGTTGCGTTTGAATCAGAGGCCATGACACTAATGGTGACCGGAGAAGGAAGAAGAAAGGCAAAGAGATGCGGCTGCCGAAGAAGAAAAGAGAAGGGTATCAATGTCTTTCGATAATTAGGGCTCTGATACCATAATAATGTTTATGTTTCTCATTATTCATCCAAAGTAATTACATGAGATATGTACACGTTAAAGGAGAGCAGAATAAGGAAGATTATAACAAACAAATCAATTAGGAGTTATTCTCCATGATTCTCGTTATTGCCATTATTAGTTACAACTTTTTTTTAATAACTCTTTGTACTAATCACTAAACAATGCTTTATATATTTCGAATGTGTAATATGATATAATACTGTGTCGAGAGCCAAGGCAAATCTGGGAGGAGCACCGACCCACAGAAAACCTAATGGGTCCCTCTTTGGTCCTTCTCTTTTTTAATTTGATATATATATATATATATATAACCTAATGGGTCACTCTATGGTCCTTCTCTTCTTTAATTTGATATATATAGAGAGAGAAGAGAGAGAGATGCTTTTCGGGAAAGGAACACTTAATTCGAGGCCAAGGGTACAGCTTTGGTTACCACAAAAAGCAGATTCCACAACCTCTTTGCACATTGCTCCTCTATTATGTACTCTCTACACACATATATATATATATATATATATATATATATATATATATATGCACGCTATACACACATACACGTCTGAATCATGCTCGTTTTTGTCCGTCTGTATCTGCATGAGTATTGAATATGAGTTTCAAATGTATAAAAACGTGACAGTCGTGAACATGAATGACCGTTTATAGGACCAAGTGATCATTTGAATTCAAAATCAAATCAATAATAATGTAATAGTTGAAGATACTAATGTACATGTATCAAATTAGGGTTTAGAATCGATTAGACAGATAGACAGTTGGTGATCATATATATATATATATATATCTTACTCACTATTGTGAATATATGTGTATGTAACTGTCTATAGGATGGTGGGTATGAGTCGGATACCCGGAAAAATCGAGAGATTTGGATTTGGATCTCGGAGGCCCGAATATTTAAATATAAGATTTGTATCCGGGATTTGGTATTTACGAGTATCCGGAGTACGGGTATCCGGAATAATGGTCGGGTATTCGCGGGTATCCGGATCCGGATTTATTTAAGAAAAACAACAATATTCATATATAAAATTTTAAAAAATTGAAGATATATTTATAAAAATTGATGAATTATGATAAAATATATAAGACAAAAGAGATAATAAGAGATAAATAATAATAATTTTTTTTAATTGATATTAAAAAATATGAAATTATTTAATCTAAAATAATTATATTTTATAAAAATATTATATAAATATAAGATATAATTATTTATAATCATAATAGTCGGGTATCCGTGGATATCCGATTTTAAAAATTTTATTATCCGGATTTGGATTCGGATTCACGGATATTGAAAAATCGGGATTTCGATTCGGATTTGAAAATTAAGAATACCCTAAAATCGGGTATCCGTGAGGTGAGTATATATCCGATTTTCGGGTATTTGTGCGCAGCCCTACTATATCCTTGTGCAAGTGCTTTTTTACTCCTAGATCTGCGTGCTCGTCTTACGTCAGGTGTCGTTACTGTCCTACGACAAAACTTTAGATCTTTTATATGTAACGGAAACGTGCATGGTTTTTAGTGGGATTTTGGCGTTTCTCTTTGGACATTGGACATTGTAATTTGTAACTTCTTGTTTTGTCCAAACTTTAGATCTTTGCTTGTTTTTACTAAATATTCATGCATGTATATACATACATACATACATATATATATATACAACAAAAACATGTTACCTTACCGCATCCATGCTGATGATTAGCCACCCAATGTGATAGCATAATCATTTATGTAGAAACATCCGATATATATATAGACACAACATCCAAAAAGAGAGACAAAAATTCTCCCCTCCCCCCCACCCCCCAAACGCACACAGATATATACATATATATATATATATATATATATGAACTTTAGTTTTTTACGTATGTTTAGGAAAAATTCCAATCAATGAGGATCATTTGCCCAAAATGGGGAAGACACCTCGACATTTTGATGAAGCCTTTACCTGTAATGATGCCGTAAAAATATAGTTACATTTCATTTCATAACTAGAAGCTCTAAAACTAACCATATCCATGATCAAGAAAATTCAAATCGAATGTCAAAAAAGGGATAACAATTGGGATCGAACACGAGTAAATTATATATGGTTATGATAACCCGTGAAAAAGATCCAGCAAAAGATTATCCGAATCAAATTTGGAGGTTAAGGGGAAGACGAAGGATGGAGAGGACAAGCGGTACTCTTTAAAAAACACTCATACCTGATACAAACTTTCACCAAAAGGAAGAAATGTAAAGAAGGATAGCCGATCATACCGGTCGAATTTGGTTCATTTTAAGGCTAGAAACCTAATAACTAAGTCTCGACATTTTGATCATACCTCTCACATTGAAGCCCGGAATTGATCTTCATCATAGCTCGGGTCTGATCTCGATGGCCTCACTTGATAAAACGCGATGTACGGTCCAACCAACCAAAGAATCAAGAATGGCGAGTGAACGGACAACCCTTTAGGTTCATGGAGATCGATATCTCGAGGTGTTCAGAAGCATTAAATGATCACAAGGAGTTGTTGAAAGTGAAACCGGGGAGATCGGTGTTCCAAGAGTTGTTATTCCCACCCCATGATGAAGGGTATTGGTCATCAATCGTCAAGTTTATGTTAATGTTCGCCGACAAGTTATTCACGCCGTTACGATGATGATCGTTCTCTTCAGCTTTCACAATGTCTGGTTGTGTAAACATATCCATCAGCTGCTGCTTAGACCTTAGTTGATTCGCATAACCGGTCTCTTGTTCTTGATTAGCTCCTTCATTACCTTCTAGTAACGGATACAACACACTTGAAGATTGTCCTAATCCTGCCGTGTTAATCGAGAAAGGGAATTGGTGCAATGATGGTCTCCAATGATCCAACAACCCACCACTTGCATTCCCCGTTATCGCATTACTTAACCGAATCCCCCCTAAATCCAACCCAATGTTGTTCATACCGTAGTCTCTAGGACCTTGGAGAGGAGACAAGTTGGGCAAGTTCGGGTTTAAACCCGAGATTTGTCCAACGTTCAGACGCTTGCTAGGGTTTGTATAACTTGTGTGAGAAGAAGGAGCCGAACTAGAGGAAGTAGTGGCTTGATGATGATGATCAGATGCAACCACGACCGTTGATTTCGATCTGGAGCCGCTCCTGCCGTTGGATTTGCTCCTCTTGTTCCTCCTACACCCTCCGCCCACAGGAACATTCCTCAGGGCGCCGCCACGTGTCCAGTAACGGCGACAGGTCTTGCAGAAGTGGCGAGGCTGACTGAGGTTGTAGTTGTTGAAGTAGCAAAACTTGGTGTTAGTGGAATCACATCTAGGGCAGTTTAGGGCTGCCTCAGGCAGTGGGATCTTGGCGAGCCGGGCTCGTTCCACCATCGAGTTTGGCCTCACAGTCTGGCCCACGGTGGCACCGCCGCTGGCCTGAGGCGGAGGAAGATCGGCAGAGGGAACCGGCGGCGGAAAATTGTTAGGGTTGTGATGATCGTTTGTGAATCCAGTTGGTTGTTGGTTCAGGTGGTGAGGGAATGAACTAGAGGAAGTAGTGGCTTGATGATGATGATCAGATGCAACCACGACCGTTGATTTCGATCTGGAGCCGCTCCTGCCGTTGGATTTGCTCCTCTTGTTCCTCCTACACCCTCCGCCCACAGGAACATTCCTCAGGGCGCCGCCACGTGTCCAGTAACGGCGACAGGTCTTGCAGAAGTGGCGAGGCTGACTGAGGTTGTAGTTGTTGAAGTAGCAAAACTTGGTGTTAGTGGAATCACATCTAGGGCAGTTTAGGGCTGCCTCAGGCAGTGGGATCTTGGCGAGCCGGGCTCGTTCCACCATCGAGTTTGGCCTCACAGTCTGGCCCACGGTGGCACCGCCGCTGGCCTGAGGCGGAGGAAGATCGGCAGAGGGAACCGGCGGCGGAAAATTGTTAGGGTTGTGATGATCGTTTGTGAATCCAGTTGGTTGTTGGTTCGCTTGCTGCATAGTCATGAATGGGTTGATTTAAGGATAGTTTAGAGGGAATGGATGTAAAACAATGAAGAGAATCAGAATAAGAGTTTGAAATACAGTCGGAATACATATATACGGTCGGAATCTATAAAAAAGGGGGAAGGGAACATAGCTATTATGCTTTGACGAGGAGAGCAGCTTTATTGGGTTTTAGAATAATGGAAAAGTAACTAAGAATAAAGAACGTTAAAGTAGCGAAATAATTCTCAAATGAACAAGAAGAATAATTACTCAAGAATTACTAGCAGAGAATTAAAAAAATAATGTTTTTGCCATGAATTAATGTAAATTAAGAAAAGGGTATGTATTATTAACGAGGAAAAAACAATTATACTTCCCAAAAAATATGCATAATTGAAGGAGAATGAAAAAGAATATTTGGCTCCCGAAGTTCATATTTTAGGGTATATTCGAGAAAAAAAAAAGGAAGAAGAAGATGTTATTGGCTCAGTAATCTGTACAAGTATATAGCTATATATTATATTTGGCTGCTCCTATCTCTTCAACAGAACAAGAAGAAGCTAAAACTGGCAATTTTGTCAAAGGCAACAACACAAAAGGGCTCAAGATCTTATCAATCACACACACACGCAGAGAGAGAGAGAGAGAGAGTTTGAACATTCACCTGCTGCCAGTTTGGTGGATCAAACTGATACAGTGGAAGAGATGAGAAAACCATCTTTGGTTAAGTGTTTTCAATTGGCTATATATAAGTGCTTCAAATCATTTGGGCAAAGATTTGATTGGATATGGCGGAAGATCACATCGCAGAAGAAAGATAGATAGAGAGAGAGAGAGAGAGAGAGAGAGATGGAGGAAGCTTGAAAGAAATGAAAAGAAGAGATGAGAGAGTCTGTCTATTTATTTTATTTTCTTCTCTCTTTCACTTTTGATCTCTTGCTTCTGTGTTCCTTCCGGTCTCTTTTTGTTTTTGATTAAACCCTTCTTTACTCCTTTTTTATTTTTTAACCTTTCTCGAATTAGGTGTTGGTACCAATTCCGTTTTATGTTATTTTTCTAACATATATATATATATATGCATGCACATATGTTTTCCAAACTGTCCACGTTCTCATTTCTATCAAATTTTAATATATATGCATAGTGTTAATGTATGCATGATGTGAGAATAATCACCATTGTCTATAAGCTTGATTAATGAATAAAAAAGAGAGTTTCCTTAGCATGTAAGCTTTTCTCTTCTTTTGCATACGTTGTTCACAGTGGTACCCAGAAACAGAAACACATACAAAGGAGCAAGTGGCCACCGAGAGGGACTACCTAAAAAAGAATCTATTATAAATATGAACTATTATACACCATATCATGATAAACAATATTTTTAATTTTTTTTTTATATTGGTGATTGACCAGGTGAGATTCGAACAATATCTTTAATTTTACTTATGATATATGCTTCGTTATTTTAAAAAATAAAATAAAAATATAATTTTTATTTAAAAAAATACCAATTTCAGAAGAGGAAACAACACAAAAAATAACAATATATATATATGTATAAGTAGGAAAATTAAAAAACTTCGAATTTATAAAACCTTCGAAATTTATATAAAAAAAAAACTAGTTAAATTGAAAAGTTATTATATGAAATGATTAATCCTTGCTCCCAAAATACATAAAATAGACATTTTATCAGCTTTATAACCTTCTTACTCTTATCACATATAATAAAATATATTTTAGAAAAATAATTTTAAGCAATTTAATCTCTACCATATTTGCATCCTTTGAAATGTATAGTCAATTTGGCTTTTTTGGCATGTTTATTAATTGCTTTATAACATATGAAATACTATTCTCGTTTTTATTTTTAGTGGATATTATATAAATAAAGAGAGAAATTAGTTAAAAGTTTTGAGAGTGACTATTAATGGCAATGGAAGTGATGATATGGGCGATTACTTCAGTGGTCAAATTAGGGTTCCGAAGATTGGTGCATGCAAGTGTGAAATGCAAAATTTTTAATTTTTCGTATTTCGTATTTTGCTGTAAAAACGTTACAATCCGTTGTTAATAATTGAACATTGTTCGTCCTTTAATTTTATTCGGATTGGGGGGAGGCCAATTTTATTTTTGGATATATTTTTGTATTAATATGTCTTTTTTTTTTGTCCCAAATGAGATTAAACAAAAAGTAAAAATATGCCATAAAAATCACGATTCATTTTTTTTACACCAATATTATTTGTAACAAGGTTTTTCCTCATTTTGAACATCTTCATTTAATGAAAAACAAAATAAAACTTGTAAACCTTATATAGTTTCAATTAAAGTAGTACGCAAAACCCAACTCCCGCTTAGACGGCGGTCCTAAGCTAATTATAATATATAAACATTTTAATAAAAGGGTCGAAGAGACTAATTAGATATGAGTTATATTTATATATAAAAAAAATAAGCGAATTGGGAGTGGGGTGATCTTTGGTAGAGTTGTCACACTCGCACTCACATTCACTATCGAGTGTCCTCGGCTATGACCCAAATATCATTCTATGGTTACATTTTATTATCATTTTTGTTTATAACTATTGTAATTTTTAAATAATAAATTATATATGTAACTAATCAATTACATTAGCGTGGAGATTCATTAAGATTTGATTTTTCTTTATCGCCCTTTAAGAAAAGCCTAAAACGAGCCAACTTCTTTTTCGCAACAAGGACATGTTTTGACCATAGAAAAAAAAAGCCGGTCCAAGAATAAAATTTGAAAAACTTTGTCATGTATACAGGATTTTACAATTAAATTTTTTGAAAAAAAGCTGGTCCAAGAGTAAATATTGTTATCTATATATATATATATATATATATATAGGTCCACAACCATGTGAGTGGAATTGATTTCCATAGAAAAAATAATATATTCGGCTATTACGATTATAGCATAAGATTCGACATCTAGAATTTGAAATTGGCTGGATGGGGATAAGACTGTGAAATTTATTATATGTATATATATATATATATATATGGAGTTTTGGGTTTTTTTTTTTTTTTTTTTTTTGCGTTGATAAATCTGAATCGGTCAAATGGTTTTAGTTCAAAGATTTCATTCTAGATGTAAGAATGATTTTGGAAGAGCTTAATATGGACTGTGAGAACACATGGAGTTTATATATAATAAATATTGTTATATATATATATATATATATATATAATGCTTCAAATGAAGTTCAAAAAATTATGTTATTTAGCTAATCAGTTTTCATATCTTACATTGTCTTCGTTTATTGTATTATTTTATAATACGATATTATTGATATTAATTTTTTTTATATCATTTTAATAATGGTAAATTTAGATATTTTGAAAATTTTAACGTATGGTTAATATATATTTCTACAAAATCTGTAATATCTTTAAATTAAAATTTACATAGATCGTATAAGATTCCGAAACGACTCATAAAATATTTTCTTTTAAAATTATGTTTTAAATAATTTTTACGTACTAGTGAAATAACTTGCAAAATATAATATTTCACGTACATAAATGATATTATATATATAATTTTAATGTCTTAACCAGTGGCAGATCCAGAAAATTTTTTCAGAGGGCAACAATTTTAAATATTATATAAAATACAAAAGCTAATAAAAATGTATCATTACAAAAAATATTTTTCGTTTTACAAATAAATTTTACGATTTTTGATTTTTTTGAAATCTATCAATAACTTCATTTTATAACTATCTAAAATATATTTTTTCGATAAAAAAATTAGTTAATCACTCAAAAACCGATCACCAATCCGACTGCGCAAAGTTGTGTTTACAAAGTTCAAATATTTCTCAACAGTTGCGATGACAACGGAACGAACAAAATCAAATCCAATTTCAAAAATCTGTATAGTAATGGATACGAAAGATATTTATTTGTTTCCACCAGTAAGATCTGCAAGATTAGTCAAATTTGAAAATTTATCATCTTCATCAAATTGTTGATGTAGATAACTGAAGTTATCGGAATAAAATCTAACCAATTTCACCAAATTTGATATATTAAACTCACGTAATGACTTAACAAGACTCAAAATTAATATATAAATGAGCAATTTTGAATTTATCTTGTCAAATAGATCATTAAATTTTTTAACCTATAATTTTTTTTTGAAAAATTTATCAATTGATTAAATCAAACATGAGATTTATATAAAAATAAATTTATTAATACGATAACTTTTTAGTTTTTTGTGTTTGATTATATGAATTTATAACTTTTTTTTATCAAAGATTAAATAGAATTTTGGAGTTAGAAAAAAATTTTAAAAAATGAAGGAAAATGTGAAATTGGTAGAAGAAAAAAATTGAAAATAAGATTTAGAATAAAAAAATGGAGGGGGCACCACTTAAATTTTAGTGGGGGCATTATTACAATTTAAATAAAAATTATAAGAATTATTATTATTTTTTTAAATTTGGATGGGGGCAAGTACCCCCACTCATATACGTATAGCCCAAAGATTGAGCGGTCTAATGCTAAGAGAATATGCAAAACGGATTCAAATCCAAATGTGGAGAAAGGTATTCACTCTTACTTTTTCGATCTTTTTAGATCTTTTTAGAGATATAATTAGATCAAATGTTTGGTTAATTTTGAGAATATAATTCATAAAAAAAACTTTGAGGTTATAATAAAAAAATTAAATGCATCAAAAAAAACTTTTATTTATATATATATATATATATATATATGTAGAATATTACATGCAGCCCTGATTTCTTAATAATTGATACACAACAGTCAAATAATCCAATTATGTACACTTTATTTCAAGATAATTATTAGTGATATATATCGTTTATCGGGATAGGCTTTCGTATATATCTATAATAATAACTAACTCCTACGTATGTAACCTGCATAATCACCATATAAAAAAATGGCTTTGATGACATTTATTATTATTATTATTATTATTATTATACAATTGGGAATGGCGGATGGGGGCCTGTCCTGATCAGATGCTCATGGTCCAGTCGTTTTAGGTTTTTTCCCATTTCCCACGTCAGCATATCCGTAGGGCCCACTTTCCTTGTCGTTTACGTATGACTAAATTATATTAAAATCGAAAAAAGTTTAGTTTACAAACCAAACCAAATTAAATACAAATTAAACCGAAACAAATGAATTGTGTTGGTCCAACTTGAGAAACAACCGCCGAACCAATATTTACATATTTGAGATTATTTTCTAAGTGCAAAAAGAATACCAGTCTCAAAATGTAAACCATATTGTGCAAACGTATTGACTGCCAACTGTTTGAGCACTGGTACTATTTGATGCGAGATCGTTGATTCTTACGGTTTTCTTTCTAGTTTTGAAATGCCCACTACTTGTGTATGGGAATTTGCTGACCGTTTGTCGGGATCTTCTGTAAAAGCCTAAACGAGGCTATGTAAACCACAATTTTGAGTAGAAATACAAAGTACAGTTAAACAAAAAAAAATGTAAATCATATAGTGCAGTCAAGTGTTTGTAAGCTAACTCTTCCAAATTAGAAAATTTTAAAAATAATTACAAAAAAATTCTTACTAATGGTTTTTTTTTGTTTAATGTGATTGTATATTAACCGAATTCTTACTAATGGTTAGAGACTAAATATGGAAAAATTATTTGAATTTGATTTTTAATGGATATATCTTATTGTATCATGCCAAAATGGTAATTTACTATGTTTCTATATGTATAGTTAGGTCAAGATGTTGATTTCTCCTTGTATATGAACCATGTTCTGGACGTATCAATACACAGAAGTTTCTTTTAGATTTGTGGCTTGAGCCTTTGTCATGATATCAGAGTCTGACAC